TCAGTAGTTGATGGCTCAGGTCCATCAAATGACATTATCAGATACAACACTTGATTTTAATAATGTAGAAGCAAATGTTGCATTCAACTTTAAGATTAATAAATGCTTCAGAAGTATTCTTCATTGTTAGTTTTTGTTAACTTATGTAGTTAACTAATGTTAACAAATGGAACATTATTGTAAAGTGTTATCAAAAAAATGTAAGTTGTACAGCATTAAACAGACATATTTTTCTTTCTTTCTTTCTTTCTTTCGAAAGAAGTGCCAGAGATCCGTCTCAGATTACATTATGAAGGCTTTTCAATATGTCTTGGGCAAAAGTGGGCCTTGGAACAGTTGAGAACCACTGATTATTTGGAAACCGCTCCTTCCTGTCTGACTGACGGGATTTAGAGTAATATTTTCAGCAGAATGCAGATGTACTGTATACAGAATACACAGTATCTTAAATGTGCCTTTGTGAGTTGCTCTAATGTTCTATTTAGTGTTATTTCTATCATTTTGATTGTGCACCCAGGGGCCGGTTGCATAAACTGCTTAGACTAGTCTTGAAAGGTTATCCATCTAATTTGTTTTCATCTAGACTGGTCATAACTGTTTAAAGTCGGTTACAAAAATGTAGATTGGCCTAATTTTAATCTGAAAAGTGAGACTGATTATCTCTTGGCTAACTGCTAGTTGGTCAAACTAGGTCTTAACATAGTGTCTATGTTTATGCAACTGGCACCTGGTTTATTAGGGGTTGTGGATGGCCTTGGTTTGTGTCAAAACAGTTCCATGGTAAATTTCTTTATCTGCTTTCACAGGGCCCAGTCGTTCGCTGAAAGGTTGCGACTGGGCATCGCTGTGATCCACGGTGAAGCCCAGGATGCTGAATCAGACCTGGTGGATGGACGTCATTCCCCGCCCACTGTCAAAAACATTGGCGCCATTCATCCAAGCCTAGAGATACCATGTAAGAATCTCACCCCAGAAAACTCACTCAGACTGTTTTATTGTTTACCTATCATTTTTTTTTCTTCTTCTTCTTGCACAGTGCTAATTCCCAAAGAAAAACCCCCAATAACTGTGGTCGGAGATGTAGGTGGACGAATTGCCATCATAGTGGTGAGTTCAAGATGAAACTCAGGACAGTATTGTTTTAGTATCACTGATGTACTATTATAGTGTTTGTTCATATTTAGAATCAGACTTTATTTTGTTCCATTTTCATTTGATTTTTTTTGTTTGTAATTTTGTTGTTATTGTTAACTTTTTATTTTAGTACTTCAGCATAAACTAAAAGAAAATGAGTAATGTTGGCAACTAGTTGCAATAAAAATATTTTTATTTTCATTCAATTAAATTTTTTATTTCAAATAATGTTCATGTTTCTAATTTTAGCTGAGAATAACTCCGTTCAGGGTGCTATTTTAAACTATCTTTTTTTTTTCAAGGATGACATAATTGACGATGTTGACAGTTTTCTAGCAGCAGCCGAAACTCTGAAAGAAAGAGGAGCTTATAAGATCTTCGTCATGGCCACTCATGGAATCCTCTCCTCAGATGCCCCTCAGCTAATAGAGGAGTCCGCCATAGATGAGGTCATCGGTCATCATTTTAATTTGAGATTCAGAATGACGAGTGTGTTGTCATGAGTACTGATGTTGTGATGTCTTTCTGTACAGGTCGTTGTCACCAACACCATTCCTCACGAGATCCAAAAACTCCAGTGTCCCAAGATCAAGACAGTGGATATCAGCATGATCCTGTCAGAAGCCATTCGCCGCATCCACAATGGAGAATCTATGTCTTACCTGTTCCGTAATATTGGCATGGATGACTAACAGGCTCATGTACAGTCAGTCATAACATGTGCACAGAGGTCAAGACTTTTTCTGTCCCTATTGCCTGTATCATTACCAGTTTTACTTTTTGTCTCTCATTATAACTTCTCGTTGTATGTGTAATATTTTGAAAAAGTTGTGTGTTCAAAGAACCCGGATGTTCTATAATGCTACATGAGTTCAGTGCCCTAAAATGCTGATGTGAAACTGTTCAGAGGATTGAAGTGCAGGAATACTCCACCTCTTGATCAGAAATATTGGCACTTTTATTTAAGATTTGAAGTACCAAATATAAAAAAAGGACCACTGGATGGTAAAATTGTCTTCAGTTCTTTTAGTCGTCGCTCTGCTCTATGTTTTATTTAATAAGTTAAGGATGAACAACTGCACTGTGTGGCCAACAATTACAAAATGTTACCATAAATCTATGCTGTGACATCAGTGTCGGTGCCTCATGACTTTGTGTAATTATTGTGCCACTAGTTGTTTCTGTGTATTTAGTGTGGTAATGCTGGGTAGTGCTGATGTTAAAAACAAGAATTATTTAATTCAAGGCAAATTAGATGCCAGGTACATTCTTAGACTTCAATATAGCGCTTAAGATCTAAAGCTTAATGTGCTTGATTGAATGTTTTTCCTGCTAGATTCTTCTACTAACACTTCAACGTGAGAGCTTGTATTTGTTTTTTGCCAATAATGGGACTATGGAAGCATATTTGCCTCATAAATGCGGTCATAGTGGCCAGAGTTTCTAAATATCTTGCCTCGGAGAACTTGATTTCTCATTTTCAAATGAAATGCAGGGTTTTTGTTATGTAACTAATATTTCAAGCTTTTGTATTTATTCACAGCACTTGATGACAATGAATAAACAACTTAAAGACTATCTGATGTCATGTGTGTGCATTGTATAATTAATGATCCACCCTTTTCTCGGGTCAGCTAAGGTTAGATTGACAACCAGGTTGTCGGAACTAGATTATCCAGTTTGTTGTACCATGCAAGACCATTTTAGATTTCAAGCACATGCCGTTCACTGGTGTTGAGATCTTTGTATGTTGGTCGAGCTGTTTACTTCAAAGTTCACCAAAAAATTTGCCAACAGAGGGCAGTCAACACTTCACAGAACCCCGTCTAAAAAAACTAGTCTACAGTATGCTAGCAACACCAAGGTCACATGTTCGATTTTAGGGAGCGCACAAGTGTATATATAACTAGCATAACTTTTATGTATTTTAAGCAGACTTGGAGCAGAGAAAATCCTCTCCCAAATGCATAAATTATGCTGGGGAAATTGATTGGCAGTTCGCTTATCTGGTATTAACTTCGATTTGCATACTGTTCTCATGCGGTTTCGTCGGAGTAAAGGAAAATAAAGAGTCTGAGATTTTATAGTTTATTAAAAGGTATTCCCTACAGTTCTATTCATTTCATTAAATGGCACAGATAAGCTGCAGTGAGTTAGAAGATAAAGACTGTTTCTGTTTGCATAATGATTCTTGAACCCTGAGGGCAGAAAATACTTCTGACATGGATATGGCGAAGAATCTGCTTCAGCAAAAAAGTTATGCGATGGAAAGCTTAAGATGTATGACCTACGTAATCTTGCTGCTAGTTTCACAAGGAAGTAAAAATCCTCTGCTATTTCTTCTTTTCCTGCAAATACTTCTTATAAAGATATTTTTAACTAAAGCGGGGTAGCAAACGATTGCTCTCTATATCTGTATTTAGTAGGCTACATGACCAGTCTAATGTTGCCCACAAATGCCTGCTCAAACCTAACATGATAGTTCATGCAAAAATGCAAATTCAGCCATTATTTTCTCACCCTCGTGTTTTTACAAAGCTGTATGACTTTATATTTTCTGTGGAACATAAAAGATTTAGCTAGGCTATAAATCGAAAAATATCAGTGTTGATTTGAACATGATTGTGGATGAACTATCACTTTGAGAATGTAACTGCCCGTCATTGTGCGTAGTGAAGCACACATTAAACTGGCAGGAACACATTATGATCATAAACAATTAAAAGCGTTCTTAGTTTGGGTGTGAGGCATGGTCATGCTCTTCTTTATGAAACAACATTTCAAATGGGCCCATTGTCGCATTAACTATGTGAATTTGCTTGTTACTTCTGCTGCTGATATGACCCTTATTTGCCTGCTCTGCAAGCATAAAACTTATGTAGACCTTACGGAAGGACATTTAGATCACTAATCTAACTTCCATGTAAATCCGAGAGAGAGAGAGCTGTCAACAAAAGCAAATTACTGAGAAAAGTTTAAGACTGCCTGAAATTATAGTTCAAATCAGTCAATGTCAGTCTAAACTATTATTCTATACTATTCTATTATTAGTCTATATTACCTGGAGAAAGCATTCATTTCAATAGTAGTTGCTTGTTTAGTTCAGAGGCTAGTTAGATCAAATGTTTAGACTAGTCTTGCAAGTTAGTCATCACATTTTTTCTAATAATCTAGTTGTGTACATAGAACTTAAATTGGTCTAACATGGACTCGAAAAATTAAACAAATTACCCCTTGGCAAACAGTTGGTCACACTAGTTCTTAAGACATTGTCTTAACCGTCTAAGTTTATGCGACTGGCCCTAGAACACCATCAGAAATAGGAAATAATAACAATAATAATAATAATTCATTACATTTATAGTATGCGATTGGAATTCTGCCATCTATACAAATGGGCACTCAGTACTGGACACAAGTGTTTTTCCCTTGACCTGCAAATGATATGTGATTAATTCTGGAATCACATTACGACATCATGACAAATATGATTGGCTGATGACACCACCAGATCGCACACAGTCCCAAGCCACTTAAAAATAACTTAAAAAGAAGGTGTGGTATGTGATCAAGTTCAATTCTGTTTGAAGCTGCTCCGACAAGTAGCAACAATGGTAAAACATCTATATATAATAAAAAAAGAAAGAAAAATCCAGCTGTAATCAAGTGAACTCTGTCCTGGACGATCTATTTTAATAATTCAATAAATGGAATTTTACAAGCTGTGTTATGCAAATGGTGAACTGTGATGATTTAATAAGACCAATAATTGATCATTTACATCGAGCTGAATAGAAAATGAAATGATTTACATATTTATAGCTTTAAGGACAATCATAAAGCTTTATCTAAAAGTCTGTGCCTGAAATTCGCCAGTTAGAAAAACTTATTTGTATTGGGAAAATCCTATGTTAATCCTGTATTAACTTTCTGCTGGCTAAATAGAATAAATAAAGCATAGTTTTATGTGAGATCAACTCACATGGTTCAATAAAAGTTCAGTAAAAATACTAAAATAACCCAGTGGCCTTTGCTTTCTATTGCACATCATTGCATTCATGAAATTAGTATTCAACAATTTGATGCCTTATTCTATTTGTTTGGTGAAGATCCTTTAGTCGCCTGCTTCTTTACTTTCCAGGAGAAGAGCAACTATGCTTTGTTAAGGATGCAGAACGTTTCCTGGAAACGTTTGGCTGGTCTGACTGCCCGATCTTAGGTGCAATCAGCTGGACCTGCGGCAGTTTTGAGGGAGAGGTGGGACCGTTTGGTGCAGGGACTGTGCATGGGGGTCTTTGTGTTGATCTAACTGAAGCAACTCCTCCTGGGGACAATTTTTCAGGAGTTGGAGATGATGTAATGCTAGACTTATTCTGCCCCAGTGGTTTTCCAAATGGGTGTCTATGCATGCCAGCTTTAGGAGCTCGAAGCCCAAATGAACGACTGCTAGTGTCTGCTTTGCTGATGGGTAACTTAGTTAACCCTCCTCTCGCTTGAATAGGAATTCTGGATGATGCTTGATGTGGTTGCTAGGATGAAGAACAGAACATTAGTTAATGATATTTTTCTTAATCCAGTTTTCAAAACTAGTTTTGTGTTCTTGGTAGTACAGTAAGAAATTCTTACCTTCCTAACCAGACAGTCCAGCTTGGGTTTCACCTCTGGCAGGTTCTTGTTCATCTGATTTGTACAAATATGTTCCCCTTCTGGTTTCTCATCAATCAGAGCTGTCGGGTGAAATGTTTGCTTTCTATGCCTACTGTAAACATCATGACCAAGCTTATTCTCTTTAGATTTTCTATCATTTATAGTCTTTGGTTCTGTAGGCTCAGTTTTGCTCGTTTTTGTTTCTTTTCTCAGTGCAGCTCTTGGTCCTATGGGTTCAGAATTGTTCAGCTCTGTCTTCTGGGAGTCTGAATCCTCTAATATCAGCAGCTCAATGGTTTCAAACTGTTCTGGTACTTTCTCTTGAAGATTGTGCTCCTCAGATTTCCTCTTTAACACGGCTGGACTGACCTCATCATCCAGCAGTTTTAAATGCTCATTCACATGCTCTTCGGATTTTAGGTTGAGTGGATGATTTGATCCAGAATCTAAATCAGCCAATGGGTTTTGCAGTTCCTCGCTCTTAGGGAACTCTATGGACTTTGTTACCTTGGTCTTCTCTGGAATTACAGGAATTGCATCTGCTTTATCTTGCTGTATTGAGCTCCTAAATTCATTGTCTGTTGCCAACTGTGGGGTAGCATTCACTTCTGAAGGTTTGAGCATTAAATCTGGACTTTCCCCAGACTGAGAGTCATGTAGTGGCGGTTTAGCAGTAGTCTCAAATAACTGGACTGACTGTCCCTTACATATCAAATCTAGACTTACCTCAGGTTGTAAGTCCTGCAGTGGTGGTTTTGCAGTTTTCTCAGCTAACTTTACAGATTGTCCCTCACACTTTACATCTTGACTTACTTGAGACTCTAAGTCCTGCGGTTGTGGGTTTGAATCTTTCTCAGCTAACAGTACAGACTTTTCCTCACATAATAAATCCAGATCTTCATCAAGTTGTATGTCCTGTAGTGGCTCTTTCTCAGGTTGCTCACAGGCTAAATCTGAATTTACCTCAAGTTGTAAGTCTTGCATTGGCGCTTTTTCAACTTTCTCAGTGACCTCTACAGACGCTTCCTTTGACTGTATCTCTAAAACCTTCAGAGATTCACTTATCTCATGTTCTTGAGAAATGTTACTCATCGATTTGCTTTCTATCACTGGCTCTGACATAACTTCAGTCTCTTGTACTTGTCTGTGAACTTTCTCATCCAGTCGAGTTTGGGTATCATCTTCAGACTTTAAAACTGCCAGGTCAGTTGCCTTATCTAGTATTTGTTGAAATTCGGGCTGCTCCTGTCCAAAATGCATTTTAGGTTTATCATTTTCTTTTGTGTTCTTGCTGCTCAGCTCAGATAGTTTCTCAATTTCCAGGGCAGGCTTCGGTACTTGTAGTTGTTCATTCAAGCTTAATGTCTCTAGTGAGCTTGGTTTCACTTTATGATCAATACCATCAATCTCGGACTGCAAGCCCACTGTACCACTGCACTCAAAGTATTCCTCTGAAGTTGAAGAGAATCTGAAGCAACCATTAGGAATCTGTGAGAAACAGCAGGTTTCACTGTCTAATAGTTTACTATAATTAATTATGGTACCTTCATCTCTTTTTTGGGCAAAGGTGGTTTTGGAAGTTGCAGTTGTTGTTTTGAAGTCTGCAGAAAAGTAATTGAAAGCAATACTGCAAGATGTTTTTAAAAGTTTTGGAATAAACAAGATCTGTTTATTATCCAAATCTGTACTGTCTTGAGCTGGGGATGAATTTGAACAAGGAACTTCCTGCTCTTTGTCACTGTTTTTGATTGAATTATGCAAAGATTCTGGTGCATTTTCAGGCACAAAGACATCTCCTACAGTCCTAAAGTCAGCCACAGGGCTAAAACACTCATAGTATTCATCAGACAATGAAGAGATGCTGGAGCCAAAGTTAGACGTCTGTGTACCTTTCCAGCCATTTTGGTTTGTGTCTGGATTTGTATCGCTGTGGTCTTGAGTGGAAACATCATTTATGACTTGGTCATCTTGGCTTTGCTTAACAGAAGGAGTGTCTATGAGGGCAAATGAGTCATGGTGACTTTTGTTGGACATCGCTGATGATGATGATTTCAAGTCAAGATCCTCTGAGGTTTGGGCAGGACATTTCGGAGGTTGTAGAGTATCCAGAGCTTGCTTTGTATCTGCATCGTCTTGAGCGAAAGATGAAATTGTATTGGGAATGTCTTTTTCTGTATTAATGCTTTTGCTCTGCAAAGATATAGAGTCCAGCTCTTTTCCCATCACACATAGCTCCTCTTTATTTACTTTATTACAGGCAAGCACATGCACTGTTTCCGGCTCCAAAGGCGAGATAAGATTCTCACTGCGGCTGCTTCTTTGATGTTGATTTTGATCAAAATTCTTCTGCGCTTCACCTGATGTTTGTTTCTGAGCTGGAGCTTCAGGAGAACAGGAAGTTTGGGATATGGGTCCAGGACAAGCCCTCAGAGATAAAGACTCCTTTGCCTCATGAAAAGGATCCTTGAATCGGATGGCTTGAGACACTTCAAAGAGTTCTGAACGCATTAGGTGAGCTTGCAGTGGCTTGTTGGAGTCTCTTATGTTAATGAAACCAATGACATCACTCGGCGGGTCAGGATCGGGCCAGGTCGGCACATAATTGATCATGTTCGCCTTTTCCAGGTTGAGCAGTCCCGGGTGAACCGGTGACACCACTGGTGTCTCTTTCATTTGTTTGATGACTTCCGTCTGATTCTTGGAAGTGCTGTTCTTGGCACTTGTCTGGTCAGATGCAGGTCTGTTGGTAGTGAAAGCGCAGTTGGAGACAAGAGTGTATTTTGGGTTAATGAGCTTGAGTGCTGTGGTGGCTGACGGGAGTAGAGTGGGTACCACTTTAGGGAGGAACTCAGGTTCAGGCTCACTGCTCAGATTAATCTTGCTCAGACACACTCCATTAGACATCACGTACATGTCCTGAAACAATGAGTCAAATGTGTCGACTGCTTGGCCAGTGAGAACCGTGATGAGGTTTCTGTCCAGTCTAGAGGCAGACCATGTGAAACTGAAAGTAAAGAAAACATTTTGATTTGTAATAACTACTTTAATTAATGTATTTATTGATGTATGTACTAGAACCATAAATTAGGTTAGGTCTAATCTTGATAAACTGGGTTGCCCAGACTTACCTATATGACCCTGAGACTGCTTTGTCTCCATCAATAAACATGAACTTCTGGCTTTGGCTTCCACACACTCTCTTTGAGAATCGACTGAAAAATTCTGCCCCTCTGATGCAGCGCACTCTCAAGTTCTGATGGAAAAATGTTCAGCATGTTTGGTTGATGTGTGGATGGAAAAAAACATTCAAAACAAAAATAAATTCTCTCTCAGCAGCATATAACTTCAATTAATATATATATGAAAAAAGATAGTTGAGGTATACCTATGATGAAAATTACAGGCCTCTCTCATCTTTTTAAGTGGGAGAACTTGCACAATTGGTGGCTGACTAAATACTTTTTTGCCCCACTGTATATATATAATTTTTTTTTTACTACCTGGAGGAATGAGAGACCAATGAAATTTATCAACAGGGTTTTATGTGTACCAAAAGGGTTGACTGACAGGATTTATAACCCCAGATGACCTATTAGAGTCTGCAAATGCTTTTTATTTTTAAGACATATGCCAGTGAGCCTGACCAAAAGCGAGTGACTTGATTACATCAAAAAGCCTATTAGTATATGATCACATAAGAAAGTAAACACATCATATGTCATATATGTAATTTTTTAACATATATTTGACCCTGGACCATCATTTCTTATTAATATCAGTTGAAAACAGTGGTTTGCTTAATATTTTTGTGTGAACGTGATACATTTTGTTCAGGATTCTTTGATGAATAGAAACATCTAATATCTAACATTATAAATATCTTTACTCTCACTTTTGATATGTGACCCTGGACCACAAAACCAGTCATAAGGGTAAATTTTTCAAAATTGAGATCTACACATAAGCTTTCCATTGATGTATGGTTTGTTAGGATAGGACAATATTTGGTTGAGATACAACTATTTGAAAATCTGGAAAAAAAATCTAAATATTGAGAAAATGGCCTTTAAAGTTGTCCAATTTAAGTTCTTAGCAATGCATATTACTAATCAAAGTAATATGAAAATCAAATTTTTTATATATTTACGGTAGGAAATTCACAAAATATCTTCATGGAACATGATCTTTACATAATATCCGAATGATTTTTGGCATACATTTTTTTTTTTATCATTTTGACCTATACAATGTATTTTTGGCTATTGCTACAAATATACCCCAGCGACTTAAGACTGGTTTTGTGCTCCAGGGTCTTATATGTGCATTGATGGTAATCTGAAATTACACTGAGCCTGTTGTGGTCATTGGTATTTATCACTATTCACACATCAGTACTGTATTTTCTTTTTGTGAGTGAACAGAACTGTTTACTATCCACCAAGTTTTTGTGGTGCCTTTAGGTCATAGACAGAAGTTATTATCTCTATTCAGGTCAAGTGATTTACATAAACATTTTTAAAACAGAACATCTAAATAGATTATAGTAAATGCACTTTTGTTAAAAAAAAAAAGGTATTCTGTTGTATATAAACACTAAATACATTTAATTTCTTTCTAACAGTTCCCTTACTATCACTGATATAGTTAGTTTCTATGTCATTTAAAAAATGTCATCAGCAGAAATCTGTTTCTGTCTCTAAACACAAGTGTCAAGAGTCATAAGTGCTCACTGTTGCCTCAGGCTGTTTGGAAAATTAGACTTTCTGATTCGGAGTACTGAACGTTCCAAAAGTTCTCTCTCAGTAAATTGCTCCTGTTCATTAAAATGCAGGCTTTTAATAATCTGATGTTTCTTTTCTGCTAATAACTCCTTAATAAATCATCTTAAATTGCAACTCGAATGAGTTTAAAGTATTAATTGTGGCATGCCTTGAGGTGTCCAGTGTGCATGCCTGCTTTCTCACACATTCTCAGGAAGTGCTTCACTCCGGTGGTCTCCAACATAATGTACACAGAAACTTTCCGTTTGTAGCTTGCATCCAGGAGATCTTTGAAGATGTCAATGTCTGTGAACAAGTCCATGACAATTGCAATAACCTGCAAAGGGACGGGTATTAATGAAAACACAAGAACTTGGTACAAACAATACTGTGTGATATCTGTTAAAAACATACTGATATTGATAATGCATGTAAATAAAACTGTGCACACAGAAAAAAAACCTGTCATCCTTGATAAACTAATTCCAAGTAACTAGAACAACAGATCTGGAAAAGTGCACGGGACACTGTGAGCACTATTCAAAAATACTCTTTTGGGTCGAAAAAAATTTTTTTCCCCCTTCATTTACAAATTATATTATCATCATAATAATTTGCATGAATCAAACAATTCATGGAATTTGAAAGTGTATTTTGCTTTAATGCAGCAGTATTCAACCTGTATGAAGTTTGTGTAAGCATGATTTAAAAAAAATATCAAAAAAGGATTTTGAGCCTCAGTGGAAGGAAGATCTGATTTTTTGTCAAGTCCACATGGTAATTTCCCATGACATTTAATTGACATTTTTCAATATCTGAAAACTTTCATTAGAATGTCAGTTTATTTTAATTATATGTATAATCTCGAAATTATAAATAGGGCCTATATGAATTGTTTTACAATTTTACTTTCTAATTCTAAAAGTCCAAAGTGCCAGCAGTGCCTAGCCCTACACTCTCAGAAAAAAAGGGTACAAAAGCTATCACTGGCGTGGTACTTTTTCAAAAAGTACTAACATGTACCTTTAAGGTATAAATATGTGTCCTTTAGGGGTAAATAAAGTACAAAGATGTACCTTTTGAAAGGTTACTGCCCCACAGTGACAACATTTTTGTACGTTTTTCTGAGAGTGTACAGCTCAGAGCTCTGACTGTTTTTTGAGCTTGAGAACACGTGTAGATCCCGACACTGGACTTTGGTCAGTGTCTTATTCACTGGAGGTGAGTCACAACAAAATAATAAAATCATAGTAATATATCACATTCGCAGTGTTGGAGAGTAACTGTAATCCGTTACAGTTACTGAGAAAAATGTGTAATTAAATTACAGTTACTTATGAAAATGTTAATGATTACAAAGGGGGTTACATCTGAATATTTCTTGAGTTAATACTTACTATTTCTTCTTTCTAACTCTGTATTTAACCTCAGAACGATCTCAGTAAAAGTAAAAAGAAGCGCTGCTGAAGTATGATTTTGTGGTGGCTGTGCTTTGAAATTAAATTATTAATCATAATTCAAGTTGAAGGATTTTGAAAGTCTGACAGTACTCAGTGTTGCTGTAAGGTTAACCCTGCCTGCTTTAAATGTTTGAAAATGATCAACAGTTGAAAACATTCCTTAGAAATTTAGAAAAGTAATCAGTTACATTATTGAATAAAGTAGGCCAATTGAAATAGTTACACTACTTAAAAGAGTCATTTGTAATCTGTAACCTATTACATTTCCAAAGTAACCTTCCCAACACTGCACATTCATCCCCTACCTTTTGTGCTTGGGAGATCATTTTTCTAACGACCTCTTTAATATGTGACTGCCCCTCATAAGGGGGCTGAGTGTACACTTGAGCTCGAGTGACTCCGCGGTAGGACGGCCGGTCAGGCCAGCAGATGTCCAGCTGTGGGATGGAGTGGTCTGAGCGGTCAGGCCAGTACTGAAGGGAAATCTCCTCCCCATCACTGTCCCCCAGCAGCAGCTCAGCGGTATGATCAGGGGAACCCGGGCTATACACCTCCACAGTGCTGAGGATCCTCTCAAGTTCAAGGTCCGAGAGAAAGCAGCGGATGTTGTGTGTTTTGATGTAGTCCTCATAAGCGTCCCGTCCCTCATGTATGAGTGTCTCCAGCGCCTGTCTCTGCTCCTCGCTGTAGAAGAACTCCGGCTTGGACTCGCTAGTGCGCAAGTTGATGTGATTGTCATCAAGACACTGAACCTGTGAAAGTGCCATTACTTGAACTCGGCGGTATTTTTTAACAGCATTTAAAATGTATTTGCGTATAATTGACAAGTTAGGCTACTTTAATTTAACCTACACAAAAAGGCACACGCGTACAGTGTAAGATCCGGTTCAGTCGCTTCTGCTCATCAGTTGATCCTGTCAAGAGTGTGTCCACGCACAGATGCAAGAGCAGGTAAACGTGCACACCTTAGTCACGTGACTCACTGTCAACCAATGGTAAGAGAAACTCACACTTTATGGCGTTATTCAACCTCAATTGTCTACTAGTCGCCATTTAGTAGTGGGAACGTTTTTACACCAGTTTGGACGACAAAGGAGAGGATATGTACGGTGACCGAGAAGTGCAAAACAAATCACAATTCTGAAAACAAAATAACAAATTACAAACGCAAATGCAAGTCTAAAAACAAAGTAACAATTCAGAAAGCAAAGTTTGGAGATGGTATTAAAGTAGCTCAGTTTAAATGTATTGTATGAATTGCCCTTACTATGGAATAAAAAATACAGAGTGTATATTTAGATTTAGTTAAATGCGCCTGTAAAACATCAGCTCCAGTGGCGCAGATAGATAAGCGCATGTTGTTGACTTTTTGACGCGACTGACCCGGGTTCGATCCCGCCTTTTGCCGAACTTTTTTTTTCTCCCTTTTCAAATCTCGTATCACATCGTAAAGGCATTTATTTTCAATAAAAATTAAGGAAATAATCAAAAAGTTGAAAATAAAGTATCAGGTAGGGTTAGGGTAGGTGTAGGGAGGGCTTTATTGTACCAATAAGGTGGCATCCATTTAATAATTAAAATTAAAATGATAATTTACACTCAATACGTTATTATTGCATACTGTTTTATAATGTACTACAATACTGAAGTGCAGATAATTGCCACTATTTGCAACAAGTAGTATACTTGATAGTAGAAATCCTGCTATTTTAACATAGTGTAAATAGATATTTGCCCTTAGTGTAAATAGCATATTGCTAAAAATACTGCTATTTTAACATAGTGTAAATAGAATCCATTGCTAATACGAGATTTGAAAAGGGAGGGAAAAAAAGTTCGGCAAAAGATGGGATCGAACCCGGGTTGATCGCGTAAAAATCCCGTATATTTTATTCCATAGTAAGGGCAATTCATACAATAAATTTATACTTGAGCTACTTTAATACCATCTCCGAACTTTCTACCACGACTCTACTGTTCTTCGGCTGGCTCTTCCTGTATACGGTGATTGACAGATGTCTCATCCAGTCAGCGGTGAGTAATCTCAAACCAATGGCGCTGTCTCAAACTATACCTACCTCTTCTGGTTTGTCTGATTTGTCGTTGTGTTTTCTGACTTGTTATAATGTTTTCTGAATTGTTGTTGTGTTTTCTGAATTGTTATTTTGTTTTTTAGACTTGCATTTGCGTTTATAATTTGTTATTTTGTTTTCAGAATTGTGATTTGTTTTGCACTTCTCGGCCACCGTAGATATGTCGTGCTAGACGTGTAAGTTTGTATTAGCCTACCCCCCCCTCCTACTGTTTTTCCAAAAGATAAAGTCAAGATACATTTTTATTGTTACTATGGACTACGTTGACAAGAGTGATGCAGAAGTTTTCATCATGAAGCTTACACTGATGATGTATCTGTGAGAAAACAAATTTCACAGTAAATTATCTAATCTTCAGCAGTAAGAAAAAAAAGTTTTAAAGCTTATTGTGCTGTAGAAAATCAGTTATAAGTGGTATGAGAAAAGTAGGCCTGTAGATAGGGAGCATGTGTTATTTAAGAAAAATATAGCTAATTATATTTTCAGAATGACAATATTTTTTTTCTCAATCAAAAAATATCTGGGGATAAAACACCTCAACGAACATGACTTAATTACTGTACACTCTCAGAAAAAAAGGTACAAAAGCTGTAACTGGGGCGGTACCTTTTCAAAAGGTACACTTTTGTACCTTTTAGGTACTAATATGTACACTTTAGGTACTTATATGTACCTTTAAGGTACCAATATTGACTGTTTAGGTACAACGGTGTGCCTTTTGAAAAGGTACCGCCCCAGTGACAGCTTTTGTACCTTTTTTTCTGAGAGTGACTATATGTTCTGATCATCAAATCCTTTGTTTTTCCATCAAATGTATTCTAACTAGTTGGTTAAATAAAAATATTTGAACTTTATATTTAAAAATGACCTCAAGTTAGCATCAGTTAGCTAGTTAGCAAGAATTTTGTTTTCTTTTGACTAAAAATGACCTGGCGGTGTTTCAGAAACAGCATTTTTTTCAGAGCTTACTGCTCACTGTTCTAAAATCTGTAGTTTTGAAACCATCAACGAAGTAGATATGAAACAGCTATTAAAAAATAATTAATAAAGAAAGTAATTTGTGTCTTTGGTATGTGCTAATTGTGATGTGTAAAAAATGTTTCTTAAAAGTTCCTAAAAAGGGCAAATTGGACAACATTGTAGTCTATATGTAGCAACTAACTTACATTTTTAAAAGAACAGCCAAAAAATAGTTTACACAATTGAGGTATGACTGTGTGTAATTTATGCTATAAAAAATATTAACGTAACCACAGATTTACTCATAAATAAATAAATAAATAAATAAAAAAGCAATATTCTAAAAATCTGGATAAAACCCATGGATAAAAAAACTCCCTTCTGAGTTTTTGGATTCAGTTTTACTTTGCAACACATCAGAATGTCAGATAATGGAGGTATGAAATATTCTGGAATGAGCTTGATCATTTTGTATAAACTTTAGTCATTTGCTGGCTTGACCCAACCATATTGCGCCCTAACTGAAGATGATTGGCATGTACACACTATTGTTTTAATATTCATATATTTTTAATCATCATGATGGTAACATTTACATCATCAAAAGAAAATAAGACAACAACAGTTATGAACAATATACAGTATACACAGAAAAAAGTGCAATAAATATAGCAATTGATTAAAGAAGTTTTTGAGTTAATATCCAAATTTGCAAGCAAAGTGCAGTGAAGAGAGTGTATTAATACAATTCAAAATCTCCTTTTGCATTTTAATGCACCAGAGTATGCTCAGAGACTTTTTATTTATTTATTTATTTTAATGGTGCTTGATAGTTTAGGGCATTTGTCCTAAAAAGCTGACAGGTGTCATTTTAGTGTCGACAGCATGATTTTGCTTTAGTAACCGTGGCTGAATAAGTTCATTCATTTTCAAACTTACTCAGCTTGATCATTCCAGTTGTATTAAACCAATAATAGATGCTAACAATCGAATACTGATATGTACACACAGTGTTGTTATTGTCCTTCAGAGTCAGTGATAGACGGGCTGGACGTACTCAGGGGGGAAAAAGCCCACACGGCCACGGCAGCGACCTTTCCAGCGCTGAGAATCAGAGCAGTCCAGCAGGTCTATGACATCACCCCGCAGGAAGTGCAGCTGGCAGTTGTGCTCTGGATTGAAGTCAAACAGGGCATGTGCTTGATGGGGCCTCTGATGGGAAACAATAACAGACAAAGGTCATTATTGTTGTGCCTGCCTTTACCACCTACCATTTTCCACATTTAGGTCCATTTTGACGTAGTATTTTTCCTGCCTCATCATTACAATTACACCTGAGATATTTTTTGTAGTTTCATAACTGATAAGGTTGTTTTTCCTGATGTGGATTACATGTCATTTGGAAAATTGGCAATCAGGTAATTGTTTAATTTATATGGAAAGTATGCTTGAAAAAGCCTGACAAGGTTTCTGAACATGGTTTACTCAAAGTAAGCATTTCTGACACCCCTGAGTACAAGAATCTTAACAAGAATCTTTTTGCTGTTTGGTGAAAAAAAAACATATGCTATTTACAATTCAGCAGTCATTTAAAAAGCATTTAAGTATGAAATTTTAATTGCTGTTGTCAAAAAGTACAGCTGTATGTGTACGTGTTAATTACCTTTAGTGTATGGTCTGTATCCCTCAGAAACACAGTCCTTTCCTTTGCTATGCTGTTGGTCTTGTAGAAGTCCACAAGCTGATTTAAGGAAGGGAAGATCTCCTCCCAAACAAAGTAATAGCCATCTCTGTCCTTTAACACCTTGAAATGCTGTACATGATCCCCATAGCTGTTCAAAGGAGACAGAATTTCAGAAGCACACAGCACTACAGAATATCAGAGCATTTACAGAATAAGCCCTCTAGGATTTCATAAAGTGACCCCAAAAACAGGACGCTTAAGTCACTCTTAAAGGGGTCATATGATGCGATTTAAATTTGTCCTTTCTCTTTGAACTGTTACAAGCTCTTGGTGCATAAAGAAGATCTGTAAAGTTGCAAAGACTAAAGTCTCAAATCCAAAGAGATATTCTTTATAAAAGTTAAGAGTCAACCACGTCTACCTAAAACGGCTCGTTCTAACACGCTCCCACATGTCTACATCACTGTGTGGGAAGATTTGCATAACGCCGTCCAAATGTTCACGCAAAGAAAGAAGGCGTAACTTTTATTCTCACTGTAGTATTGTTGTTGTTGCCGCCGCCATGTCGTGAAGGCGCTATGTTTCGTTGTGAAAGCAAAACTACTTGTTTGGTCTTCCAAAAGAGGATGATATCTGCTTCGTCATGCCTAGAGCTGATCCATGCTGGTCGCTGAGGAAATACATCTACTTTGCGCTGTGGATCGCTGGATCGGCTTTCACCGTGGACGAAGCGGAGTCCGGCCCGGGGTCGTCACATGTGGTTGCCGCAAGCCTCCTTCATCGAATCCGCCGGCTGCGCCGTTATCAAGCCCGCCACCTCTGCTCACTCTAGCCCCGGGCCTCTGCTCACTCTAGGCCGCCGTGTGTGATGCTGTGTTTCGTTGTGAAAGCGAAATTACTTTGTTTGGCCATCCAAAAATGGACACGACTAGAAATCAGTGGTTAAGTTGTATTTGCAACACTGTTCCAGAACACTTCAACCTTCAAAAAAATGTGTGCAGCACAATTTTATGGAGGACTGTTTACTGATCCTGGTAGAGTAGACTACAATGCCGGCTGTTTTTTATGTTTACGCGGCGCGATGCAACGCAACTTGTAAAAAGACAGAATAAGTCATTATAATTCATAACTATGTCCCCACTGGATGCAACGAATGCCTCGTTTATAA